TGTTTTGAGAATGATGAGGGCAATGAATGTACAAATGTGCTTTACACAATTGATGTATGCATGGATTGTGATGAGTCAGTCGTATGAGCCCCTAATAAAACGATTTAAAAAAAAGAAAAAGAAGTACAACAAATGTAAGGTATCTAGCTTTTTAAAAAAACCGCATCAAACAAACAAACCGTGTGGTTCAAAGAGTATTAAACAAAAAGAATAGCATGTCAGTCATAGAACTTGAGCTTCCAGGTTAGTTGACAGAGCTTTCTGATGAGTTTGTCTTAATATCAACTATAATTTTGATGTGTACCCGTAGTGCTTTTCTATCATCTCTCAAAATAAAAGATGAAACAACAACACACACACACATATACACAAACAAAAACAGAGCAAAAAACCTCAGCAAATAAAAAGTTCCAGCAATAAAAAGTCCTTATTCCTGTTCTGATACAGGAATCCTGTATCCTGTATCCGCCACTCACACCACTGGTCCTGAAGGGATCATCCGCCCTGGATTCCCTGTGTTTCCAGTTCCTATCTGATACAGGAATCCTGTATCAGAACAGGAATAAGGACACAGTCTTGCTCTCAAGGAGTTGACAAGCCAGTGGGTAAAAAACAAGGCAACCCACCATGACCAACAAGTGTGGGAGGTGCTATGGCAGAAAATCCGTTTTGGACAGACACACACAGGAGCAACTGAAGGGGGCTCAGGATGACTTCCAGGGAAAATGAAGTACAGCCTCTGAGACAAAAGCAGCCTAACTGAGAGGCAAGTGCAGGCCGAGGGCGGAAAATATTGGGATGTTGAGCTAAGAAGTTTGAACTTGACCCTGAAGACTATGGAGCGCCCACTGCAGGATTTTAAATAGGATTTAAGTGATATGATAAAATTTGTATTTGAGGAAGAACAGTCTGGCCTTGGTGTGCAGAACAGCCTGATAGGCGATGAAGAATGGAACTAGTAATCCTAGCTCAGAGGTCAGTAGTTTAATACATGGTAAAAATAAAGTTTTAGTTTATTATACTTTCTAACTGTTGCTAAGTGGAAATGTTATGAATTTTTGCCAATACATTTCATATCACATCAAATAAGCATCATTTTGTCTCTCAAAATATCTATACTTCATTTCTCATTGGATTGGCCAGAACCATACTGCTTTTTAAAAATTACTGTATGGTTGTACACTATATATTGGAAAAATGAATGTAAGGGGACAAAATAGGAAGTAATTTAAGCTAAGAACTTAAAACTACAGACGAGAAGCACCCTCTGAACAGTGAGAGGATTCGCTATTTAAGATGTGCTGTTGGGATGGCTGGGCCCACCTGGCTATCAGTACAGTGCAGTAAGGAGAGAGGCCTACCAAATGGTTGCTATCTCGCTCAGATGGGCACATAGTTAAATGTAAAAGAAGAAAAAAAACGAGAGGAAAATGGAATGGCATATTTATTCCAGCTGTAGAAGCAAGATTAAATTCTTATTAATGTGGAAAGAAAGGATCTCATAAGAGACAAATGGGATAGGTATGAATATATAAAAATAAAACAGCTTTGCCCAATGAAATGTACAAAGGAACAGTAATAGAAAAAGTAATGAATAAAAGGTTACTACCTAATAAATATTAAAAATAAAACTATTATCCCATATAAATTAAAAAATCAAATAGATAAGGTCAATAACTATATTCCATTTAACAAATGATCCAGAGATGAACAATTTATATGCAAAAGAAAGAGTAAATTATTATTTTGAATACTGCAAAGCCTTTTCAGAAAAAGACACATGTAAATCACCAACAACTTCAGGGAAACATATACTTGTCAAGCTCAGAAGTCTACAGGGAAAGCTAGAACACAGCTTATCTATACGACACCAACAACATCATACATGCTGCTGGTATCACCGTCAACTAGTCTCAACTAGCTGCAAAACCATCTACAGAGCAGAACGCGAGCAAGATATCCATTATGCATGTGTTGACCTTGTACTAAGTCTGACCTTGTACTAAGTCCATTTTGAGGAACATATCCACAAAAGAAGAAACAGTCAATTGTTTAAAGATATTCACAGGACTATTATTCATCAACAGAAAATAATGAAAACAATCCAAAAGCTTAATAAAAGAGAGTGGTGAGGCATATTGCATGAAAACATGACTCATCACACAGCTTTTAAAAGGAGACACAGCAGACATAAATGACTAAAAACAAAAGAATGCAAAGACATGCTTCATAAAGCATGTATACATGTATGTGAATTAAGAAGGATGCAGAAAAAGTGAATGCTTTCCTATACTTTTAGTTTCCTTGGAGCTCCCCCAAACCCAATCTGCAGGATTCCACAAATGGCACATATCCTGCTCCTTTAGCACGAGCCAGGGGCACTTTCCCACTCCAGTCCATGCCGTCACGGGAATACTGTTCCCTTTTACAACTTTACGTTTCTGGGGGGGAAAACAGCACCTGAATTGCCTGGTGGGCTTACCGTGAGAGTGGCAAGTGACATGAAGCTGATTAGGTTATTCCACACTTTATCAATGTCCTTCAGCAGCTGCTGGAGTTTCTCACTGCACACTGCGGTGGCCTTGATCCCCAGCTCCACACGTTTGGTTACCCTGTACACCTCGACGACACCTGACAGAGTGAGTGTAGTAAGTGTGGAGAACGAGAGAAGACAAGAGTGAAGCATTATTACTTGCTGATTACCTTTGCTGGAATTAAGTATACCTGGACAGAGGCGATCTTACTATTCCTTGGGGCCTTATACCCACCCCCGTGTAGCTCTTACTGCAGATTGTGGCACTACATGAAACAAACCCACGGCTGTGGAATCAATTTCCGACCCATAGCACTCTGTTTTCCGACCCATAGCACTCTGTCGGGCAGAGTAGAACTGCCCCCATAGAGTCTCCACGGCCATAAATCTTTATGGAAGCTGTCACATCTTTCTCCCTTGGCACTGCTGGTGCTGGTGGGCAGCTGAGTGTCTTAATCACTGTGTCACTAGGGCTCCATACACGTGGAATTTAAATTCAAATCCCGCTCTGTCATTTGCTAACCTTGTACCTTTGGGCAAGTGACTTCGTCCCCCTCTACCTCAGTGTCCTCATCTGCAAAACTGGGTCAATAGCTGAACTTCCTCAAAGGGTTATTGAGAGAATTAAATGAGCTTATATCTGTAAATAGCTTAGAACAGTAACCAAAGAATAGTAAGTATTATGCAAGTATTAGTTCCCCTCCACCCACTTCTTAATGAGCCCATTTGTTTGAATTTGGGAAATCCCATTATACTGGTTGAAAACATTTATATTGAAAGTTTAAGAGAATCTAAATGTCAATAGCATCGCAAAGTAATGAAGAAATATCTCAACCTCCTGAATTTCCAACGATTTATTAGTTCTGTGGCTACGTGTATCTTCACACAGGGCACAGATGCAGCCTAGCTCTTACCCGGTGATCTCTGAGTTGTGGCTGATTAGTAATAGACACCAAGGCCCGTCCCATCCTAAAGAAGCCATTGTCACATCTCCACCACCACCTCCATCCTCACCCCCAGCCCTAGCCTTTGAAGACTAGAGGAAATACAAGGGAGTCTTCAGAGTGGTGTATCATTAGCCTGTGTATATAGCACTATGACTTTTCCCTCTTCCTGGCCTAGGAGAAGGGCAAGGCCATTGTCCACTTTTAGGCAAGTGGGGGATTCTTTTAGAGAGCTTGTTCACGATTCAACCACTGGGGTGCTGTGTCTCAGTGACACTACAGGTCAGGCCCTAGTCAAGGTGTCAGGGGCAGAGCAGTGAACCCAACAGAAACCCTGGCTTCCTTGTAGCTTCATCCTAATGGAGGGAGCATAAGAGCCGGTAAACCAGAACAAGCTGTCAAACATTAAGGGTAAAGGCAAGGAGAACATTAAGCAGGGGGAGGGGGCAGGAAGTACTGGTGAGTGAGGTGGCAGAAGTAGGTTTGAAAAAGGAGGCCAGGGAAAGTCTCACTTAGAAGATGATATTTGAAAAAAACAGCTGAAACAGATTAGGGTCCACAGCCAAGCCCCAAGTTTAAGGAAGGTTGGATGCTGGTCTGGACAGAGAAGTTTTAAATCAACCAGGGATGTTCACCAGTGGAAGCTAAGGAATCTGCTTGTGATGTGACACAAAGAATCCACACAGAGCACAGTCAGGCAGTGGTTGGAGACAAAATGAAGTTCGGGCCTCACCTAGTTCAGACTCTGCTTCAAACCAGCACCACAGATGTAATTTTACACTGTTCCTATGATGTGCACAACAGGGACTCTGGAAACTCGACTGTAGAGACCTATGTCAAATAGTTGTTATTGCCTGTGACTGAAGGGTCTTATCTCCAAATGCAGTCACTACTAAGTGAAGCCCTCTGGGGTTTATGGGATCTAGATCAAAATAAGGAGACACTGAAAACAATGCAAAGTGTTGTGATTTTAAATAAGAAAAATATAAAGGAACATACCTAATAAATATTCCATGCCCCGAGCTGACTGGATGACTTCTGTGCAAACAGTACTGCTACTAATTCCATTCAAGGTATCATTTGCCTTCTTTATAGCCTACAAGAAATAAAAACCACATCACCTTATTTAACTGAGAGAACTCACTGCAAGCAGAGAACTTAGCAAAAAGCCAAGAGGCGCTGTAAAAGTATGAGGAACAGATATGTGTATGACTATGCTGAAACAAAGCTGAGAAGTTACTTTCAATCTGAGAGAAACAATCTTACAATCTTCTCCTCCTATCTTCGGAAGACAGAAGACAGAGATCCCCCAACTTACATTATTTTAATACAGGCAGAGTTAACGATGCCACTTAGTTATTTCTTAAACACAGTGACAGATGAGGGAACAACTGAGCCAGACAGAGTCTGCTGCTACATCTGTGAAAGATGCGTTGTAAGATGAGGGAGGTCTGATTTTTTCACTGAGGCTGTGCAAGGCCCGCAAGGTTATGCTCCCAAGTTTTCTTCTGTCTATTCAATGAACCAAGGAGAAAACAAAATGGCCCAAGACACTTCTGCTACAGACAGGCCCACCACACCACCAAGAGACATACTTACATCCAGAGCACTCCCCAGGCAGCGCTGCCATTCATACGCGTATCTCTCATTCTCCTGTGAACAGTAGGGGAAAACTGGGTTAAATGGGCATGCCTGGAAGCCTTTATTTATGACTCCTATCAATTAGAAGACCTCTGGAAGACACTGTTATTTAAATAATTTTAGCTCAAGCCGAGTTTATCTTTTTGAACTCACTAATGATTATTATAAATCACCAATATATGTAACTTCGGAGCACATAACCTGCAGTTTATAACAGTTTCCCTCTGTAAACATTTTCCCCTTTCTACCAGTAACACCTAAAACCTTCCTTTACAGGTACTCGCCCTAAAGGTGTCTAGTTCAAAAGTTCATGTCAAACCATTGGCTTTCTGCATCAGTTAGGATGCTGTGCGATAAAGAACGGGAAGGAGGAGGGCTAAGGGTGTCGGCTGCAAATTAGAAACTCCAGAATAATCTTCCCGGCTTCCCAACTTTGAAGTTTCACCACGAAGATGATAAAATGTGAGCTCTCAAAAGGAATTCCCCAGGGAAGTTTGTGTTTTAGGGTCACTAACTATTTTCAGGGGCGGCTGCAGCTGGTGTTTTCATGCAAGACTAACTTGAATGACACGATGCCTGGCATCTTGTGACTTTCTGCCCCGCATTTTTCCATGTGAAAGCCCAGGGTCCTTTTCCTTGGGGCCCTCAATGTGTTTGCCTTGGCTGCTGGGGAAGCCCCGGGTGCTCACCTCCACTTCTCCTGTCAGATCTTTGTACTTGTCCCGGATGACAGGCAGAGCAGGCTTCTCACTCAGGGTGCTTGAGCGGTCTCGGAAAGGCTGCTCCAAAGCTGGGGCAGGAGAGGAACGGCTCATTTCTTTATCTCCCAGGCTCAAACTCCTCCTGTGAGATCCTGAAAGTGCATGATGGCACAGCCAAAGGTTTGCTTGACTCAGCTTAGTTCTGCCTAGGAAGCTACATGGTGAAGCCTTTCCTGCCTTTAATTTTCTCCAGGACGCCGCTCTGATCTATCAGGTGTCTCCCATGAGTCTAAGTGCAGAATCATTAGATAAAAGTGATTTAGCCAATACCAATTCGTAAAACTTGTGTCACTTTTCCATCATTCGTTGTGAATCTGTACGACAGTGCGTTAAACATTGTAATGCTAACTGAAAGGGCTCTGGTTCGAACGCGCCTTCTCTTGTGCAGGAGAAACATGAGGAAATTTGCTGTTTAAAGGATCTGTGCCTTTGGAAACCTTATGGGGCGCTTCCTACTCAGTTCTGAAGGGTCACTCAGTTAAAGTTTGCTTAGTTAGGAATTTTTACTGAGCTGCTCAGTATTTCAATCTCATTGCTATCAACGATCCCTTCTGTTGGGATGGGATTAAAGAAGAGGCAAACCCAGACACCTATAGAGACCAGGCAAGTAAAGTAAATGACCAAAGTGGGTCGGCTGAAGACGGAGTGGGGGGACTGTGGCAAATTAGGGGAGCTTGCCCCATCAAAAGGGGACATTGCTACTCAGTTCCAAGGGTTGGGAGGTATGCTTGCAGGCCCACTACTGACAAATATGGTAGCTTTTCACAAAATGCTAGAAATCTAGATAATGAAATCTCTCGTGATTTTTTAATATTACCACGGGGGCAATCAAAACTGGTCTGTTGGCTGAATCTAGATCTACATGGGAATCTCCGGGTTCTAAGACACAGTTTTTTTGTTTGTTTTTTATTTTTTAACATTTTATTAGGGGCTCATACAACTGTTATCCCAATCCATACACACATCAATTGTGTAAAGCGCATTTGTACATCATTCTCAAATCTTTTTCTCTCCACTTAAACCCCCGACATTAGGTCCTCATTTTTTCCCCTCCCTCCCCGCTCCCCCCTCCCTCATGAGCCCTTGATAGTTTATAAATGGGTATTTTGTCTTATCTTGCCCTGTCCGACGTCTCCCTTCACCCACTTTTCTGTTGTCCATAAGACACAGTTTATAACCCAGAGCAAGACCAGAGCTCAAGTGCCCACAAGTGGAACCAATCCACTGCTCTGGCGCCTTGAACACAGCATACCGCCGATCAATAAACTAATGAAAAACAGAATGTGCTCTGTGCTTGTTTTTAGCCCACAAAAGAGGTTTACTGTGCAACAGTGATTTGACTTCAATTCAATTATGGAAATCTTTTTATCGTTACCACTAATAGAATCTGCTCTCAAAGGCTGGGAAATCTACTTCCTGCTAAACCAGGGACCCAACTTTTATTCTTGAGAAAGAACACTCAACCCCTCAGTGGGCAGAATGCCGGCAGCACAGTCCACGTTGAAGTTACCCACCTTGAACAGACAGGTCAAACGTGGCCAGCTCACTTTTGATCATTTCTTCGCTGGATTTCATTTTACTCTGTGAATTGGCCAGTAAAAAGTCAAACTTGCTGATCTTGGGCTTTTCACTCTGAAACTCTCCAAAGTCATCGGGGCATTCCTGTGGGGTTTCATGGGATGCACCACTTGAAGCTGGGCTGGAACATGTGCCCTCTTGGCTCCGGTCGGCTGAAGGGGGGTCTTGGCTTGTGAATTCTTTATAGTGCCTGCTGTCATAGTCCTTTTGCTCGCTGGCCTGAGGAATTCCATCTTTGAAATTGGCGAACGCTGGGAAGGTCGCCTCTGGAAGGGCGTCCTCACTGGGAAAGGTGGTTACTTTGGAGAGCGATGTCATGGTGATGCTTTCAGAACTGCCAAACGAAGTCTCTTTCTTTGGAAGCACCGAGGCAGCTGGGGAGGACCCGCTTCCTGCTGAGAGGACAAATGGAGAGAGCTTTCTGCCCTGGGACGCATCATCCCTGTCTGACCAGTCAAAGCTTGAAAGCGCGCTCACTGCAAAATTGCTACTGTAGGTCCCAAAAGCAGCATATTTTAAGTCCTCTATATCTGAAAGGGAAATAAGACCCCACAATTAGAGACAAGCTCACGACTCAGCAACAGGCCCTAAACTCTGGGGAAGCAAACTGTCTCCACTTTATGCTACACTAGAATTAACTATATTCAGAGCTGGCGTTTGGGTTGTAAAATTTGATCTTAGAAAACCCACACTGATTTGGCATTTACACATAATTGTCTTTGGAAATTAAAAAATTATTTTAAAAGATAGGCCATGTATTTACCAATGCATCTGCTGTTTGATGTAAGGTTAGTCACTTCATACCTTGTCTATTTATTTGTATTTTAAAAGGTTTACATATTCCCTGCCTAAAACATGGCTCCTTTCATCCTATTAGAAACTGTTCTTTTAAAATATATTCATACAAAAGATATATGCATGGCAAATTAATTTTAAAAACATGGTACCTTAAAGCTAAAGTGAAAATGTTTCCTAATTTCCAGTTTTTAATTAAGCAATTACTTACCTAATTGTTATTTTGGTCAATTTTGACACCTTATTGCTGTGTTGGAGTGTGAGAACAGAAAAATCAATCTAATCTACATTAGTCCTCTCAAAATAAAACCAGGGGTCTGGTTTTCTCATTCAACTGTGAGTCTCACGTGAAAAAACCAAAACCTAACAACCAACCCCACAACCCGATGGTAAAGGGCTAATTTTGCAAAACATTCTTAGTATACAGTTTAGTCATTTTGAGAGGCAGCACAGAACTGAGTGTATATATTTTTCTTATTTAAAACCGAGTTCAACTCCCAGTATCACCACTACAGGCAAGTGATGGGCACGTCTATACTTCGCTTTGCCCATCTGTCCCAGGAGCAGCGCGTGTCCTCAGAAGGGTGTGCTTGGAGGACTCGCTGTGACACTGTGGGGGAAGGGGCCGGCTCAGGCCTGCGGAGCCATATGCAACTTTTGTTCAGCAGAGTGGCCACTGGCCTCAATTAGCCTTTTAGTTGCTTCTTAGGGTCTAAACTGAAATGATTCCACAGCCACAAGGAAAAGTAAACCCCATCGGTTTAGGGGCCTTCCTAAGGAAGATGATGTTTCTTGTCCAGTTTCAAGAGGCAAAGCCGCCATGGCGGAGTCAGGCTGGTGTGGAGAGAAGCCCCGTCAGCAGTGCTGTCCACTCCGTCAGGCTCACAGGCAGCAAGGTTGAGATTTTTACCCACATTCTGCTTCCTTTGAGTCACTGTACACAAGGCAAGAAGACCCATCACGAGACCTCCTTCGGCCACCACACCTCCGGTTTGCAAGGGGGAGGCTCTTCATAATGAAGTCCATAAGGGCGGCTGGCACTGGGTCATTGCTACTTTTCTTTTCAGAGCCACTCTGCAGAGTTGATGACAGTTAAGGGACTCTCCATTTCCATATCTCTTCTAACACAAGAGGGGCTTCAGGAAAGTTTGTGGGAAAATGGAATGAAAAGAGAATGGAGTTTTCCCAGGGAACTTTGTGAAAGACCTCTCATATACCTCTCTTTAAGCCCTCGAAAGCCTGAGATGGACAGAAAAGTCAACCACTGAAAAGCAACATCTACCACAGGTGATTAGAATTCTGCAGTGCATCTGATATGCTTCAAATTGGTAAATTAAAAAGGACGTGGGGAAAAGGATTCAGGTGACAGATTTATGCGGCACAGAGGGATGTAACAAGCCTCTGGCTGCGGTGGCTTCCTTTCCCCACTCTTTAAAGGCGTCAGAAGGCGGCCAGACTCAGAGCGGCAGGCAGATGCAGTTATACATGCGCCTCTAGTCTTCACGAGGAACATGCAGAAGAATGTTTCATAACAGGTATTTTTATTATTAGCCCCTGTTAGGAAGCTGCTTGGGGAAAAGCTATATTAGGAACTACTCCCAGAATCTCATCTATTATGAGGGTAGCAATTATCCTAGACACAAAAAATGCATTTAATAAAAAGTTCAAACACTGCAACTGAGTTGCTATGGTACCAAAAGACCCTTTTGTGTAATCATACAACAGGATTAAAAATAAGTAAAACAGAAATGCCTAAGATACTCAGGTATAAAGCATTGTAAGTAAATCAGGAATTGTCTTAATTGAAGAGCTTTCAAACATTTTTATAACATACAGGTCTTGACTAATTCTTGTTTTTACTTCAAATGGTTATGTATAACCTTTTGCCTTTTGGAATTACTCATAAATTGACTAAATGAAAGAGTCAGGAGCAATAAAATTGTGGGTGTTTTTTTAAATTTAATTTAATTTTTATTTATTTATTTTTTTTAAGTGAGTGAGAGTGAGACAGTGAGTCAGTCAGTGAGTGAGACAGTGGGAGAGTGAGGCAGTGAGAGTGTGAGACAGTGAGAGAGTGAGTGAGAGTGAGGGACTGAGACAGTGAGTAAGGCAGTGAGTGTGGGAGTCAATGAGTGAGTAAGAGCGAGTGAATGTGGCAGTGAGTGAGTGAAACAGTGAGAGAGTGAGACAGTGAGTGAGACATTGAGTGAGACATTGAGTGAGTGAGTGAGGCAGTGAGGCAGTGAGCAAGTGAGTGAGAGTGAGGCAGTGAGTGAGTGAGAGAGTGAGTGAATGTGCCAGTAAGTGAGAGGCAGTGAGTGAGACATTGAATGAGTGAGGCCATGAGTGAGTGAGGCAGTGAGTGAGAGAGAGAGTGAGTGAGTCAGTCAGTGAGAGTGTGAGTGAGTGACAGAGTGAGATAGTGAGTGAGACAGTGAGTGACTGAGACAGTGAGGCAGTGAGCAAGTGAGTGAGAGTGAGGCAGTGAGTAAGACAGTGAGACAGTGAGTGAGTGAGGCAGTGAGTGTGAGTCAATGAGTGAGTGAAAGTGCCAGTGAGTGAGAGTGAGACAGTGAGTGAGGCAGTGAGCAAGTGAAGCAGTGAGTGAGAGTGAGACAGTGAGACAGTGAGTGAGTGAGGCAGTGAGTGAGACAGCGAGAGTGAGTGGGAGAGTGAGGCAGTGAGTGAGACAGTGAGAGACTGAGTGGGAGAGTGAGGCAGTGAGTGAGAGTGAGGCAGTGAGCAAGTCTGTGGGTGTTTTTAATAATGAAAAATAAATACATTAAGACTTGCTAACATCAAGGCTCAAAGCTGATATTTAAGTTTTACTTTTGCTTGTTAGTGATAAATTTGTGTGAAAAAACTAATTTACTAAACATGATTAATTTGGACACACAATCTAGTGTTTTAAAAGGTGACCGTGATTACATAAGGAGTATAAGACAAGGCAGCCCTACACAAGATGGAAACAAAGTAGCATTCCCCGACATGGTGCACGTGGTAAGCCACTTTCTGAGAATAATGTGGTTTATCAAGTCACTGGGCTAGGTCAAATCAAGACAATCCCTCACTTCCTGGGTTAACAGCTCTACAGTTTTATAAGCAGTCAAATAATATATATTTTTGTATAATGCTCTTACAAATATTAAAGCTTCTGTAAGACCTAAAATGTAAGTGATGGAAGCCCTGTCTGGAAAAATAATATGGAATAACCCACAGTCACATGTTCTTTTGTAATCACTGAAGTTACTATACATGAGTTTTCCATTTGATGGCTGAATTCCAAAAATTGCCAGAGAAAAGGGAAAAAGAAAATGGTGAATGGATGTAATAAAACGAACAGAATCACTACTGCATTTCCAATTCAACTGGAGAACTCTGGGACTGTGCTAAGTTGAAATGCAATTGCACACAGATAATACGCCTAATTGTGTGCCTCAATACATCTATTTGTTTGCAACCAGGGAAGCCCTATGATAAAGGCCAAAGCAACAAACAACACAATCTACTTTTCATCACGGATCTCAAACGAGACACGGATTTCTTTCTCCTGCTCACACGTCAGTCACCCTCTCAGTCTCTTCCATAGCTTCTATTCAAATCCCCTTAAAGTGGACTTTGTAGGAGAAAACAAGATGTTTCTTGGAACAAAGGAGGCAAGGGCACATCTCCATGGACAGTTTGTTTCTAAAGCTGTAAGTATGTGCCCAAGTGGTTAAAAGTTACTAGCTTTGGAGGAAGGGTTCAGAGAGAGAAGGAAAGTGATATATGTGCCAATTCTTAAGTGTTTTGTGTAGCAATAAAGACGTGCAAGCCACAAAGGAAGACATAGCTTTTAACTGCCAATACTGATTCAATCCAAACTTCCTTTACCAAAGCAAACCATGAAATATTTAGACATTTCTGCTTCTCTCCACCCCTGGTCCTAGTCTTCGATCTAGGAACAGCTGTATCGTATTCTCTACTAATTACAGAATCTGATCTGACGCATCCTGAGTTTTAAACACCCTGACTGGTGCTTTTGCAGAAAACAGGAATGAAACTGATAAAAGTATAAGTCTGACAGGCTCTCAAATGTGTCTTCTAGTGTTTTCCCATCTGCAAAAAAACCTCCCACTCTACATTGGTACACACATAGATGAATGGTTTAATTCTAGTCAATGTTTTAAATTATACCCATGCTATTGGGGCGCACCTTCAGTTTTCTGTGTGCTTTAAATAAAAAAAAAGGAACATGGAAACATTGTGGATTGTGTGTGTGTGTGTGTGTGTGTGTGTATTTTTTAAGTCAGGGACATTTAGAATGTCAAGGAATGAATCAGGCCACGCAATGGGTGTCACCCAAGATAACCAATAGAAATCTCATCAAATGAGCCCAAAAGATGGTAATCGCCATTGGGTCCTTTGGCCAAGATCGCGGCACCTAGGAGACCTCCTATGCATCCGACTCTGCCATGCTGTCAAAATTACTGTCCAACATTTTCCAAATCAACTTATCAAAAAAATTCAACTTATGAAAAAACCAAGAGATCTGGAAGCAGATCTTCAAAAATAACTTGGTTCTTTGAGGTGTGTGACAGCTTCTTTGATTTTGTCAGAGTTCCCTCCGTGTTCATTTGCTACTTTTGGAAACCAGCATGGATTTTAACATGAGCAGTAGAGTAATTATGGAATCAAAATATACTTATTTTGAGTGGTGCCACATAAGCAAATGAAGTTTCTGCAAGCTTTACCC